TCAGGAGGGATCTGATTGGCTGCTGCAGGTCGTGTGGTTATCCAGAGTCGAGCAGAGGGAAGCAGTTTCCCCCTGATGAGGTTTATCAGCAGCACATCCACTGAGGTGGACTTTCTAGGGTCAGTTAGGATTGTAGTTTTGTGGAAGTCCAGAGGAAGTCGACACTCATCCAGACCATCAAAGATGAACACAACCTGGAAGTCTTCAAACCTGCAGCTTTCTGCTTCTTTGGTTTCAGTAAAGAAGCGATGAACAAGTTCCACCAAGCTGAACTTTTCCTCTTTCAGCACATTCAGCTCTCTGAAAGTGAATGGAAATATGAACTGGATGTCCTGGTTGGCTTTGTCTTCAGCCCAGTCCAGGGTGTATTTCTTTGTTAAGACTGTTTTCCCAATGCCAGCCCATCCTTTTGTCAGCACTGTTCTGATTGGTTCATCTCTTCCAGGTGAGGCTTTAAAGATGTCTTCTTGTCTGATTGTACACTCTAGATTGTCTGGTTTCCTGGATGCTGTTTCAATCTGTCTGACCTCATGTTCATCATTGACCTCTGCAGTCCCTCCCTCTGTTATGTAGAGCTCTGTGTAGATCTGATTCAGAAGGGTTGAGTTTCCTGCTTTAGCAATCCCCTCAAAGACATACTGAAAGTTTTTCTTCAAGACAGACTTAAGATTATGTTGACAAACTGCACCATAGAGTTCTAAATGAAAAAAAAAGAAAATATTTGTTCATTTTTAAAAAGTCAATATTACTTTTTAGTTTAGTTTTATGTTCTTGCCAACAAACTGAAGCTGAAAGTTCTGAAATATAATATTTTTTTTAAAAATGGTCATGTTTTACAAAGTGCTCATGATAGATTTGACCAAATAAAGAAATAATTAAATTTAATTTAAATCTCTCTCGAGATATTAGCAAATTCGTATTCACCCAACTGCTTAAATCTTTATAGAAATCCTCTTACTGTTCTGCAGGCGATAAGCCAGCTCCTCCTGTTTCATTCTCCTCAGGAAGTCCAGTGTGATCTTCACAAAGTCCTCTCTGTTGCTCCTCCCCTGCTTATCATCCTCTCTCTGACCCTCTAAGCATTCTGGGTAATCTGGACTCAGAACCTTCTGGATCTTCTTCAGCTCTTTCTTCACAAAAGTGATGATGTTGTCCTCCAGCAGCTGGAACAGAATGTGTTATGAATGATCCATTCCATGATCACACTAATACGTTTTAATTTTAAAAAACATCTTTTTCTCTCCGTTTTGGCCTTCCGTCTACACTGAGATGGTGTTTCTGGTCAAGGAAAACTGAGCTTTCTAAAAACACTCTCCAAAGTGGATACATTTGAAAACGCCCTTTTTGTGTCGCAGTGTGTGCAAAAACAGAGGCTTTTAAAAACGATGACACATTTTACTCATATGATTCATTCATGTGACCAATTCAACGAGAAGGCATTGCCGTCTATATTTGCGCTCACTTTGCATCTTTGTACTTTTGTGCTACTCACAGCAACAACTTCAACTCATTGTCAGTTCATTTAAAAAACTTGTTGATTTTCTTCGACATTTTATTTTGCCACAATGTTTCAAAGAGCCGGAAAGTAAATGAACAGTAGACAGAAATGACGCAGGTCGAATGACCTCATTTTTTAACGCATGCACAGTTCAGAACACAAGTGTTTTCAGTCATTTCAGTATGGATAAAAAACTTTTGTAAAAAATTGAAAATGATAGTTTGGACGTGGAGCATTTTTAATTTATCCAGATTGCTGTAGACGTTACCCCAGTTAGACACTGAAATCATGCAGCCAAACATCAGATCCATGTTGGACACACTGGCAATCCACTGGTCTACAAAGAGCAGCATGGAGATGACTGTGAACACAACAGATGTAAAAGTAGTTGTTGTACATGTACAGACCATAAATATGGAGTCCAGGTGTGTTTGATGCTGCTGGGCAGACTGACCGCTGGGAACCTCTGAGCTCTGCTGGTCCACTCTGTGGAGGAATTGTGGGAAGTAGTTCACATTGAGACATTTTTAGTTGCCATAAACACACACAAACCTCGACGTGAATGACAGCATCTGTTGGTTGTTGGAATTTTAGGTGATTTTACCACCTAAAAGATGTAGGCATAGTCACTTTTGCTACTGACCTCATTGGCCTGAGTTTTCCTTTCAGATAATAAAATGATGAATAGTCAAATCAAATATACAAATTATACGCAAGTGTTCTACCATGTTCTTAATCATATTCATATTGCAGCTAGTTGTATATGATCCTAAATGATAAAGCAGTGTCTTATCTACAGTCAGTATAAAACTGTGTTACACTGAATAATGTGGAGCTGCAGTTGTAGCAGGAGTAGGCCTCAAAACAACTGCACCAAACAACAAAAACTAGAATTCCAGCCTTACTCACAAAGCGAAACACAATGAGTACAACTGTATCCTTCAAGTGCTACACAACCTGCAGGCTGCTGAAGCAGAGCTGCACATTCACAGACTCACACCAACAACAGTAAGTCTGAGCTACGTTGGCTGTTGACTAGCCTCACTAAGAGTTACAAGAGATGACATTCCACAAATTCTTTTATCTAAAGGTCACATACACAAAGCAGCTTTACAGAGGTCATCATGACTACCATGTGCTGCCTTTGACAGCTGTTTGACACGTCAGCCATCTTACTCTAGAACTTCTCAGTTTGCTGTACACCTTAAACGTTCGGCTAACTTTGACTTGTTTATCTGCAGTGGACTTCATCATCAGACCAAAGGCCAAACCAGTGTCAGTGCACAAAATTACGATGCTGGTCTATTTAACTTCTAGAAACTAAAGTCACTCTTCACTTATCAGAAAATTCATTAAAAAAAATAAAACTCTAATCTGTTAAAATGTAGAAAGGAAGGTTTCCTCTCTGACTGACAGTGTTTGAGTCATTTTTGATGCTCTGAGTTTTATGAGGAAAATTTGTGCCACAAAGTTAGTGTTCCCTCTTCTAACTTCCAACAACATCCAGCACAACATGACTGAT